GTTTACTTCCTTTTTAATTATATTTTTATTAAATATTTATTTATTTGTGAAAAATACTTTGTCATCTAAAGTATAAGTATGTTTATTTAACACATTTATTTTTTATTATTTTTTAATCAATTTTCAAATGATTTCAAATTTCTTAAATATTAATTAAAATAAATAAAATTATATTGGCTTTATATCGGCCACCCTGCTTTCCAAGATATTGGCATCGGCTGTCAAAAAAACAATATCGGTCGACCACTAGTTAGTTCACCCAAAAATAAAAAAATTTGCTGTTAGTTTACTCACCCTCAGGCCATCCAAGATGTAGTTGACTTTTTTCTTTAGTAGAACAGTAAAGAAGATTTTTAGCTGAATCCGTGGTTCTTGGTGATTCAGTGGCTGCCATCACTTTAAAAAAAAAAAACAAGGAACACAAAATTAATACTCATGGCTCCTGACGATATATATTAAGGTCTTATGAAGTGAAACGATCAGTCTGTGCAAGAAACTGAACATTATTTACAGCACTATTACCTGTGAGCCTCAAGCAAACGAATCAGATTGTGAATGAATCATTATTTTGAATCGATTCTTTTTAGTGAACTAGTTGAACCAGTTCATTAAATCGGACTGAACCGTCTGAAACAGTTCATGCCTCGAGCAGCACAGATCTACAAGTCATCATCATCATCATTGGGTGCTTTAATAATATAATTGTTTATACGTTACGTCATTGCATGATCACGAAAACGAACTGGTGAATCAGTTATTTGAACCAGTTCATTGAAACGAACTGTCCGAAAGAATCAGTTCACAGAAAAGAATCAGATTTCCCCGTTAGCCTGAGGCTCTGGATTACAGGTAATAATGTTGTAAATAATATTCAGCTGCGGTCGTTTCGCTTCATAAGACCTCAGTATATCGTCAGAAGCCGTGGATATTAATTTTGTGCTGGCTGTATATGCTTTTTTGACTCTCAAAGTGACGGTAGCCATCGACTTGCATTTTATGAATCACCAAGGCGCACGGTTTCAGCTAAAAATCTTCTTTACTGTTCTGCTGAACAAACAAACACATCTACATCTTGGATGGCCTGAGCGTGAGCAAATTAACAGCAAATTTTCATTTTTGGGTGAACTATTCCTTTAAAGGTCCCATATTGTACTCCTTCCTGGAGTTTTATTTTAGGTTTTGATGTCCTTAAGAACATATATTTGCGGTATAAGTACCAAAAACCATCTCAATATATTTGTACAGCTCCTCTTTGACAATATGGGACCTTTAAAGAGCGTCAGGTTGGTTTATAATGTGGATGACGTTTTCTCCAATGCCTCACAGCAGCCAAACCAGAGATTCTTGCTATCAACAATTTCCCAAACAGCCGCAATATGATTCAAGTGTCATGTGATGAATCACATATATTGAACGTTTCTGAAATACTTACTGTAACTGACCTTAAATCTGGGACATTTTCACTTCAACTTCCTGTTTTGGTTCTGTTGTCACCTCGGCCCTTTCTGAAAGGGAATATTTAGTGGATTTTTGCTTTTTAGTCAAATCAATAATCATCTGGATTTTTCTTCTGAATTTGTATTGCTTTTTGTAGTTGTATGTTTTTCATTGGAAGTAAGGGTGAACAATATGACCATAGTCTTATTTCACGGTGTAAGAAATTTTATTTTGCGGTAATGATCTATATATAGTTATTTTTGTTGTTTTATTATTATTTTTAAATATGAACTAATTCACTAATTGAAAAAAAATGCATTGCATTAACATTGCTTGCATTGCATTGTAAATAATATAGTTATTTTTGTTGTTTTATTATTATTATTTTTTTTATATATTTTTTTATATATGAACTAATTCACTAATTGAAAAAATGCATTGCATTAACATTGCTTGTATTTTAATGCATTGTATTTTCAGGGCTTGCATTTTTGGGAGCTGAACCTCAGTTGGAACCATTTCACACACAGTTTCATTATTAACAATTCTATTATTTATATTTACCTTCCAGAGTTCATTTCCAAAGTATTCAGTCAAAATGAAAAAAAAAAAGCTAAAAAAAAAGATTAATAATATATAAATACATTTTAATGCTTGATTTGTAACACAAGACAAAAGGAGAGCATCATTGCGAATGTAATGCATCAAAGTAATCACAATTATTTTCGTGGAACCATTGGAAGCCAAAACCATAACTGAAAATTTAATTTGGTTAATAAATTAATATATTTATTGTATGTAATCTTTGTATTTTGACTCACAGTAGAGTTTTGGATGAATAAACCTCACTTATCTTATGCATAAAACACAGTTAATTAAATCATTCAGAGCAGGATGGTTCTGTTCTGATCCAATAATCATTTATCCTGCGTTTCATTACTTAATGCAATCACTCTTATTAATGAAACGTGTTCCACTGAATGCAGGCGTGTCTGTTTTTGCTGAGTCGAGACTCATCTTTAACTCTTGCGCTCGGTTTTGGCCGGCCTCTGTAAAGTCTTAATGGCCGTAAGTGAATTGGCTGTCATGGTCGTGATGCCAGAAGTTTCTCCGCATTGATTTTCCAGCAGGACAGACTGAAGAATTATAACTGCTCTTGCGGTGCATTAAAACGAGTCTGACTGTTGTGTCGCTCATCTCATCCTCCGCCTCCTCTCTGGCGCACTGATACTGATTTCTGCAGTATGCCATAGGGCTGGTATTATGAAGACGTCACGATTCAAGATGCCGCAGAGCATCATAATATCATAATTGGATCACGATTGAAGCTGCGCCAGATGAGCGGTTCACTTCACTTTTGTTAATGTCTGTTTAGACAGCCTGTGTATATGGTGTAGCGATTGATTTGCTTTGAAATATTTATTGCATACTATTTTTGAGAGTATGCCGCAGGGTCAGAAATGAGCTTTTCCATTACGGAGCAATATTTGCATTTTTTATTTTACTTGTGCAGCAATTTTTTTGCAATTTTTTTACCTTATTAAATGAATCTGTGTTGTCTTTAATGTCAAATTCCTAGGCCTCTCAGGCCATCCAAGATTAGGATGAGTTTGTTTCTTCATCAGATTTGGAGAAATGTAGCATTGCATCAGTGTCTCAGCAATGGATGCTCTGCAGTGAATGGGTGCCGTCAGAATGAGAGTCCAAACAGCTGATAAAAACATCACAATAATCCACAAGTAATCCACAGCACTCCAGTCCATCAGTTAACATCTGGAGAAGACAAAAGCTGAAACAAATCCAGCATGAAGTCGTTTTTAACTAAAACACGAGTCCATAATAACGCTTCCTCCAGTGATAAAGTGTTCTGGTCTGAATCAAGAGAGAAATCTACGAGATCAAGCACCGTTTAAACAGCTCTAAACAAATACCGTATTAGCCCGAATATAAGACGACCCTGATTATAAGACGACCCCCCTTTTTCCAGATGTACCTTTTGGAAAAAGGCTTTTTAAAAACCAAATCTTGTTTTTTCTCAGTAAAACTGCTGAGCAAGTGATGGAATGCCCTCTTTTCTCTTTTTTGCCCCCTTATCTTAAATTTGTTTTTTTCATTTTGATGACACCAAGCCCCCATTAATTTTCGACCCTGCTATGCAGTATGTTAGTATTCTGTTCTAATTGCATCGACTCTCTTTCCTCAGACTCTTCTCTGACGGGTTGTCCCGCTCCTGATGCCAGCGGCGCAGCGCAAAAATTACTGATTCTGGATGCCCGCTCTTACACCGCCGCCGTGGCGAATCGTGCTAAAGGAGGAGGCTGCGAGTGTGAAGGTGAGCGCCGCTGAACTCGTGTAGTCAGTCTCTGGATCTCATTGAACATTATTGTTTGTTTGGTTGTTGGCTGAAGGCAGGTTTCTCTCTGGTTTATTTGTGTTTGTAGAGTACTATCCCAACTGTGAGGTGATGTTCATGGGCATGGCCAATATCCACTCCATCAGAAACAGCTTTCAGTCACTCAGAACCGTTTGCAGTCAGATCCCAGATCCCGGCAAGTAAGTCAATCTCCATGCGTTCTGACAATATATATATATTAGTGCTGTCAAACGATTAATCGCATTCAAAATAAAAGTTTTTCTTTACATAATATATGCGTGTATACCGTGTATATTAATTATGTATGTATAAATATATACACATGCATGTATGTATTTAAGAAAAATGTTATGTTTATATATTAAATATATTTATAATATAAAATATAAGAACATAAATGTATATATATGTAAATATTATCAAAATACCTACATGCATGTGTTTGTATTTATATATACATAATAAATATACACAGTACACATACATAGAATTATATCTATATATTTAAATATTTTATATGTTTTAAATCATTGTTATCGTTTATTGCTCTTGATATTGTGATATTGATATTGGTATTTTTCCACCATAAAAATAAAATAAATATTATTGCAATATTATTAATATTAAAAATAAAATAATATTGCTTTTAATATGATTTTTATTTATTATAAATCAGTATCAATCTCCAGGTAAATCAACTTCAAAGTTTTGTGAATGAGACTAAATGAGATATTATTTCCAGTGGATTCTGGTTTGATTTGGATTCAATTTTGCTGCTTTATCTGAAGCATGACTAGCAGTTTTGGGTTTTTTTTGCACAATTAATCTCATATTAATATCAGCTGAAAAAAGCCTCTTAATGAAGATCATTTAAAAACATTGCAATATAGTGGCTGATCAGTGAAGCATTGAATAGACATTACATTAATTACAAAAAGCGTATTTGTATATTATATGGATATTTATATGTATTTATGTATACATATGTATTGATTTGTTGTATATGCATTTTGCATTTAAACATAAGCTGATCACAGTACACAGAACTTTTCACAGAAAGTAACTCTTTACTTGATGCCTTTATGCATAATGCATTATTTTCTTTAAAAATTGTAACCAAAGTGAAAATGCATTATAATTGCAAATTCCTTGTTACCTCTAAAATCGGTCGTTTGTCACGTGTTTTAATGCATTTCTAAAGGTGCAACAATGAGCACGTTTACATGCACACCAGTAAGCTGATAACTCACAAATATCAGCTTATTAAAATAAGCAGTTTTCCCTGTTTACATGCACATCAGTAACCTGACAACGCAAGTAAGCTGCGTTTACATGGCTTCATTAATAAATCAGGTTATTTCCCAGTAGTGACGTCAAAATATAACGGGTTACCGCATTTACATGACCAAGTGCGTTTTTCAGCTTATTAAGCATAATCGGCTTAAGAACGTGCATGTAAACACGCTCATTACTCTGAGTTTTCCATACATTTGTCAGTTTTGATGTTAAATTAAACTTGCAACATGTCAGCGGGAAACGTACAGCTCATATATTATCCTCTCATGCAGTTATGAATGCAGCATTGTGACTGAACCACTTCTACTTCTGCTGCACGAGATGAGAACACATTTTTATCATTTTCTGAGTCATGAAAAAGTCTGCTTTTGTGATATATTTCCTTCTTTCTTTACTGCAAGACGTTTGCATGCGCTTAAATCTGCACTAATGATGCGTTCCTGTCACGTATCACACATGCACACTTCAATAAGCCGACAGAACGCAGGTTAAGGTGCTTATATACTGGGAGAAATCGTAAATTTTTGGTCATACCGCCCAGCACTAGTGGTTACCATTATTAATGAGATCATGCAATGCATTACAAGGTGCATAGCTATTGCATTAAAATAATTTTAGAATGCATTATATATAAAGGCTCAAGGTAAAGCGTGTTCCTGATTTTCCAGGAAACACACACTTGTGTTCTGCTTGGTGATCCAGATCAAAGATCTGAAGTTATTTGAGCTCTTCCTCCTCATGCAGTGTGTGTCTGTCGTGTTGCGTTCAGACGTTTGTAACCCGACTGGTGCGTCTGCTCTCTCCAGCTGGCTCTCGGCTCTGGAAAGCACCCGTTGGCTGCAGCATCTGTCTGTCATGCTGAAGGCCGCGTCTCTGGTGTGCTCTGCGGTGGAGCGGGAGGGAAGGCCGGTGCTGGTGCACTGCTCAGACGGCTGGGACCGCACGCCGCAGATCGTGGCCCTCGCAAAGATCCTTCTGGATCCCTTCTACAGGACCATAGAGGTAAACGTGAAGAAGAAGAACCACCTTGTGAATTAGTTTTCTCATGGGTTTGATTTGCAGGGAATGCATGAAATTAAATGTGCAACTTCAATGCAAAGATAAAAGCATCTGCCAACTGTAAAATGTTGGCTTTCCAACAAAGAGATTAATATTAAATGCATGTTTAATTTCAAGTAAGTCAAGTCACATTCGTTTATATTGCACTTCACACAATACAGATTGATTCAAAGCAGCTTTGCAAAATTTATAATTATGAAATTGATAAATATATTGATTCAGCTTAATGTTGATTCAGTGAATCACAGTGTTGATGTTGCAAAGTTTATCATTTGTGAATAAATTCAAATTCAATTCAACCATGAAGCAGCTGTATGGAAGGCAATAGTGTTATTATTCAGATCGATTTAGTTCAATGCTGATTCAATGCAGTTCAATTATAGTCTGTAAAGTGAGTTCAATGTTCATTCAGTTAAGTTAGTTCAAACATTAAAGTGTCTTTACACATTTGAGTTAAAGCTGCTCTGTACCTGCTTAAAATTCAATGTGAAGATGTAATGCTGCATAAAAGCCAGACTAAATAATGCCTGCTCTGACCCACCTCAGCCCCTAGTCAGGGTTATTATTGTTAACTAAAATTAAAACCATAAAAACACACTTGAAATAAAATAAATGTTAACTGAAATAAAATATTTGTATCTTTATATATTATATATTATATTGTTTAAATTTTGTATTTTTTATTTATTTATTAATTAAATATTTATATATTACAAATATCTATATTATCTATAAAATATGAAATATCTAGTTGCCAGGGCAACATTTCTCATTTTCATTTAGTTTTAGTTGAATTACTAAAAAACAAGGCATCAGTATTTTTATTAAACAAAAAGCAAAGTTTTATTTATAAAGAATAAATGCAAAGATAAAAGCATCTGCCAAATGCAGCAGAGAGACTAATATTAAATGCATGTTTAATTTAAGTCAAGTCACAGTTATTTATACAGCACTTTACTCAATGCAGATTGTTTCAAAGCAGACAGTGTCGTTATTCAGATCAGTTTAGTTCAATGTCAATTCAATTCAGTCAGTTCAAACTTTAAAGTGTCTTTACACATCCGAGTGTTAAGCTGCATAAATTATCCGAATGCTGCATAAAAGCCAGACTAAATAATGCCTGCTCTGACCCACCTCAGCCCCTAGTCAGGGTTATTATTGTTAACTAAAATTAAAACCATAAAAACACACTTGAAATAAAATAAATGTTAACTGAAATAAAATATTTGTATCTTTATATATTATATATTATATTGTTTAAATTTTGTATTTTTTATTTATTTATTAATTAAATATTTATATATTACAAATATCTATATTATCTATAAAATATGAAATATCTAGTTGCCAGGGCAACATTTCTCATTTTCATTTAGTTTTAGTTGAAATACTAAACAACAAACTAAATAAACTAAAACTTCTAAAAAAAAAAAAAAATTTAACAAATACTATTTAAAAATAAAACACACACATAATAAAAAATTTTTTTAAAAAAAATGTTAAATGAAATAAAACAAAATATTTATATCTATATGTAATTTATTAAATATTTAATACTTATTTTATTTAATCTAGTTGCCAAGGTAACACTTCTCATTTTCATTTAGCTTTAGTTGAAGTACTAAAATAATAAACTAAATAAACAAAAATTAATAAATACTATACTGGCATTTTTTTTAAAGACAAAAAAGCACAATAAAATTATTAAAATAAATGTTAAATGAAATATATATATATACATAATTTATTAATATTTAATACTTATTTCATCTAGTTGGCAGGGCAACTCATAAAAGTACTGAAATAATAAACTAATTGAATACTATAATTAATAAATAAAAATTTATAAATACTAAAAAATGACAAAAACACAACAAAATTGCTAAAACTTTAACTAACACTTAAGTGAAAGCAGAAAATATAAACAATCTAATTCAAGATATTAACAAAAACCATAATAGTACGTAAATGATACTAAAATAACACTCTTCCTAGAATCAAAGGCGGTTTATTTATGCAGTGTAAATGCATTCATGCCACCTCTGAGCAGCATTAAACAGTGTGTACATTCATCTAAAAGCCACTTCAGATGCAGCAGAGAAGTCAGGCTCATGTCTGATTGTGTCGGCAGGGTTTTCAGGTGCTGGTGGAGACGGAGTGGCTGGATTACGGTCATAAGTTTGCGGACCGCTGCGGTCATCAGGAGAGCGGTGAGGATGTGAGTGAACAGTGTCCCGTGTTCCTGCAGTGGCTGGACTGTGTTCATCAGCTCCTCAAGCAGTTCCCCTGCCTCTTCGAGTTCAACGAGGCCTTTCTGGTGCGGAGCCTTTGCTTTCATTTATGTGTGTCGATATAATGTGTACGATTTAGTAAAAAGGAAATATCTTGTGTATTATGACTGATTTTTTAATGCATATTCTGTGTTTTTTTTTATTAATGTTGGAGAAAAAAGTCATATTTCAAATCTTCTTTTTGTGTTGAATAGTGAAACTACTGTTTCTTTTTTAAAATGAATTTCAGTGTTTTAGTGATTGAAAAAACTGACATTATTGGATAATGTTTTTTTTGACCTCATATATTTCTTTTCCATTTGGATGATGGCCAAAACTTTAGTTTAATAAACAGATAGGCCTAAGAATATACTATATATA